GCTTTCAATTTTTCAAATGGGATAGGACAGTGGGTTACTGGGTTGGACTTGGACAGTGGAAAAAATTGGGTTTTAACCAAAAAATTTTTTTTAACAGATGTTGGGCTTGGGAGCCTACCCTTATCTCCGCCCATGCACTCACTTCTCCCGTTGATCGAGTTCTTCGCTTCCTCTCTCTATATCACACACAAATGTTTCAATAGTAGGCAATTGGTAGTTATCTCTTTATAGAAAGATCCACAAAAAATTAATATCAAAATTTTTAAGTAGGTATGAGGTGGTTAGGTTGCAGTTCAGACGAAATTACTGTTGGAAATGATATTGAATGAAAACACAAACATCACTTTCATCCGTTCCAAATGATATTGAATGAAAACATGTAACTCCTTTATTTTATCTTCAATGTTGTAACTCTTCTATTCAATGTATTTATGAGCAGCTCTTCCTCTATTAGTATAAATAGAGGATCTCTCTCGGTTGAAAATATAAGAGAGATACAAGTTATTTTTTCCACCAACAAGCTTTCCAGTAACAATCTTCGTCTTTCCGATTTTGAAATTTTTTTTTGATTTCTTTGAGAGATAGAGTATATCACAGCTAGTTCATAGGCGGGTAACGTAGTGCAGCGTGAACCGACAACTGATTGTATCCTGGGAATCGAACACCGATCAAAACCTCTTGCATTTCGGTGAGGTGACGAATTCGATTTAAGGAAATTGTGAATACACAAGTGTTCGGTTTGATTTGATTCTATTATATTTACCTACAATTTAAAGAGGGCAGGTCTATAAAATCATTAAATCCATCATTCAATGAAAGAAAACTTAACCCATTTTATTTTCCGGCAATGAAACCCGCCGAGGATTCAGAAGTTGTGTTCCTTTTGGTGGCGATTTATTTTGCTGTTGACCAGTACAAGCACAGTGCAATATCGAAATTCCTGGAGTTGAGGTGTTTCAGGTTGAAATGCTGGCCTGGTCTAAAATAAAAAATGTTAATTTTGATTTTTTTTTTTTCAAATGGATTTTGAATTTTGTAAAGATTAAGGCCCTGTTCTCTTTGTCGTTTTCCAGCCATTTTCTGTTTTTAATTTCTCAAAACAACGAAAACGCGTTCTCTATCTTATTTTCGAAAACGCGTTTTGAAAAATGAAAAAAAAATTATAACTGAAAACGGAAAACAACAAAAACATTGTTTTGTAAAATTTTTGGAAAAACAAGGTA